AGGGGGCTAGAGAGTACAGAGCTTAGCTACAGGGGGCTAGAGAGTACAGAGCTTAGCTATAGAGAGCTAGAAAGTACAAAGCTTAGCTGTAGGGGGCTAGAGAGTACTGAACTTGGCTGTAGGGGGCTAGAGAGTACAGAGCTTAGCTATAGGGGGCTAGAGAGTACCGAACTAAGCTACTAGGGGACTTGCCATAAACGAAATTCAACCACACTAGTAGCCAGTTCCAAAAAGAATTTCAAAAAAATAAGTCATTCGTTCCATCCAATCCCAAAGGATTAGACATTTAAACCCGGCCATATAGAAAGCATCCCCGACGAGGGGAGTCCATCGCGTCTAGGGATAAGGGAACAAAATGCATCCGAAAGCTGGGCATTCACAGGGGAAGAAAAGCGAGCACCGCCGTCACTGTGCAACGCGCGTGCAACGGGAGCTCGCGAGACGTGCAAGAAGGGAGGCCTACGGCGAAGGGGTCGGAAGAGGAACGCCGCCGGGACAGGGAAGCCCCATCGACGTCGTCGGCGTCGCCATCGGTGCATAAAAACGCGGGTGTAACGAGATTTGTCACGGAAGTACCCAGCGAGAGCCACGAAGGCCACGGGGAGAGGAAGCGGGAGACGAGACGACGCCGGAGAGAGCACGGAGAACCGAGAGGAGAGAAAAAGGGGGCCAACGCGAGAGGGAAACCCTCCAAGAGGGGTTGGTGCGCCGAGGGTGAGCGCCGATAGGATAAAGGGAGTCGAACGAACCGACCCTGGGAAGAGGCCCTGTGCAGCCCGAGCACCATTCAGATATGCAGAAACGTGCAATAATTTCCGTGCCACACTTCAGCACGAACTGGTATCGGTATATCGGGGCTAACGTGCGCCATCAGGCGGCCTCCGCTCGTGTCTCGCGCGTGTTTTATTTATACGGGCGCGAAGTCGTGTAACTAGAGTGTAACATCTGATGTAACAGTCTCCGATGTTTTACGTTTGTTCGTTATTTAGCAGAATCTAATACAGCGCTGGCTGATACCTAGAGCAACGACTGCAAGAAAGGGAGAGAAGAAAGGCAATACCAGAATCCTAACGTGTACCGAGCATTGTGCGCGATCTGTGCAGCGTCTGACGCACTGCCAAGAATTCGAACTTCCTACCCTTCGCCCGATCCACTTTTGTCTATTTCTATTTTTTTTCGATAGATAAATCACAATGCATCGTTAACGGATTTCGCAATTGTCGCCGTGGCGCAGCGTTTTCGAGCCTGGCGTAGTTTTGGCATGCGTCGTCCCAGATGACACGGGAGCACACGATCCGTGACGGTATTCCACCGATTTCACGATCCATTACTATCTATTACTATGTCGAAGATCGCTGGTTTGGGTCGTTCCCGTTCGTGTGCCTCGTGACGCCACCTAGGCATCGCCCAGATCCGTAATTAATTGTCGCGCGGACCGCGACGGTGCTCGTAGCACGAGTAATTAATGTCTGCCGTCTTAGCGATTAATTGTCCGTCCCGTGTAGACGTCGAACGAGCCGGTCGTCCATGTACGAGCATCTTTTCGCGAAACGCATTGTGCTACCGTGACTCTAGCCTGCCGAGGTGGAGCTACGGATCGCTTAGGGCGTTCCTGAAACGTTTCGTCAGTGTCTCCAGACTTGTTTTCGACATTTCCTGTACCATAGCGAGCTGGACAGGATATATGATGGTACCTTAATAAGTATTTCGATGATTAAATGTTAAAAAAAAAATTCTAAATACCGTACTATATTAAATATCTTTTATTCCTTTCCTAACTTTGCGTCCTTATCTTTCCCACTTTTGCGATCATAATCGCGATTATAATCTTCAAAACGCCTAGCTTTCTGAGAAAATGACTCAAACCGTAGCAACCAAAACGCGAACAAAAATAAGCCTGTCTAAGACCGTCGTTGTTTATCTACTACGTCGGCGGACCGCGCTCTTTAGTATCACTAATTGAAACGATCGACTATATATTAAATAGCTTACGAGCCAATAAAGCGTGCCGCTGCGTCACGGATTGCGAAACTGTACGGGTACGAACACTTTCACGCGCAATTTACCGCAGTGTTCGCGAACTCGAGCGACTCGGAAACGAAGCAGCAAAAGTCCACCTCGGTTCCTTTCTTCTTTTTCGCGACGCTCGAATATCGCTCGCAGAGGCGTATCCATGACCCGAGTCAACAATAAATCGGTTAGCACGGCTGCCAAGACGATGCTCTCGTGGTTCGCGATTTCATTTTATTTTCGACGCGAGTCCGGCTCTTTCGTCCAGTGTTCCTTGTGTTTCTGTTACCGGACAGAACCGCGGAGAGAACACGGACGCGAATATAAACGCCCCTTGCCGTCCTGCGCGCGCGCGCGCGCTCAAACCCTTTCCAACAGGGGCTCTCAACTTTTTATGAAGACTTTGATAAGGGAGCATTCAGCTAAATTTGAATTTGAATTTTAAAATTGCAAAATTTCTATAGTTTTATTTACGTGATTTAAAAGTGGACTGTTTGCACCAGGTGCTCTCTCTCTCTCTTAACTAAAATTACGCTTCTATTTTTACGAAGAAAAATGGTATATTTTCTCTCTGTGTATAACTTATGAATAGTAAGTCTTCCAATTCCTTGTTTACGTTCCACGTTTAATTTTATTTAGTCGATACAAGTAGTTTCTAAGTTAGCCACGCTGTCCGACACGAAGAGGAATATAAAGAAGCGAGTCCCAAGCTACGAAAGGTTGACAAGCACTGTACCTACACCCTTCTGCACGGTCACCCACTCGTTGATATTTGTTTTTCGAGCAGCGCACACGCGACCGCCACTCAAGTTGCAATATTATCCGCGGGGACAAGAAAAAAGGACGAGATGAAAGGATTCCCTTTTAAATCCGTCCGAGAGCTTTTATTGCGAGCAAAACATGAGCGCGCGTAATCCCCAAAAATGGAGGAAAAAATCTTTAAAATTCGTATCTTTCCGATTACGAACAAAAATGACTGGATTAGGTGGACCACTGGACCATCGCTGGACAGTAACCAGCCGTACAGACGGTGCAATGCTACATCTACGTAATTATATGTAAAATTAAATACTGTATCTCGACAAATGCAAGAAAATTAAACTATTCATCGCTGAAATGTTCGAATATTTGGACTGCCGAAAAAATTCGACTAGTCCTTCATCCCCCAATAATAGTACGTGCAATGATCTACGTACAGAAAATTACGTACCATTCTAAATGAAAAGAAAGAAAAGGCCCAGTAATAATACCGTCACCGAACGATAAATCCGTGTTTTCGTGCAGCGTTGTGCAACAACGCCCCTGATTTATATTTGCAATTTGTCTTCGACGGGTAAATGGAATTGTGTCGGGTGGTTTTACAGCGCGAGCTGTTCCCGTACCCTTACGTAATCGTTGGAAAATTGATTCGATTTATAAATGGAATTGAAACTTGTAAGTGCGCTTCGGTTTCGTATTTCATCTAGTGTATCAGTTGTTGCTAGACGTTGCTAGGCATTTTGCGTCGAGTTCTAGGAAACGGAAGGCAAGTCGGAGTCGTTCTCGGAGTAGCAGGTCGGTTGACGAACCGAACTTACCTTGCCCTGCATGATCAGGCGGATGGTCAGGGTGACCGAAGGGTCATCGTTCAAGGCTGGCTTCGAATCCATACCGTCCATAACGAAGACACGGATTCTGTGATTGCGATGAGGGATTTTCTTCTCGAGATTTGCGGAGGGAAAGGGTGTGGAGGAGGATAAGGAGGACAGGGGAGAGGTTAGGCGAGTGATTTTGGCTGGAGGGGTCTCGGGGGACGTGCTTCTCAAACGCTCCCAGGTATGCTCAGTCCTTGCACTGCAATCAAAATGTTTCATACATTATTAAATGATCGAAAGGATGGAGTAGACGGTGATATATATATATATTGCTCTATATAGGATTTTTCAAAATATGCTTGAAAATTCTGCTCGTAAATTTATATTTGAAAATTCGTCAAATTCAAATTTTAATCTACACAGGTGAGGAACAGAAGCTCAAACGAGATTGATGTACAAGATTATGATATATTCATGAATACTTTTCAATTTTAATGTTACTATTACTATGAAACATGATCAAATATGAGTTGTGTCTAATCTGACAGATGTTGCATATCTTTGGAGATGTCGCAATGACCTCGGACTTTTTAAATGGCACAATACAGTCTCTCTTGTACCACGTCACAGCTGATAAGAAAACGAATTCAATGACATATCGCGACCTACAAACGACTTTAACCCCCGGTACGCTTAGCAACAGTAAACATTGCTTATCGTTGAATTGCTTTCTTTTCTTTTTTTTTTTTTATTTTTTTTTTTTTTTTTATTTTATCGATTGCAAAATAATGCCGCAAAAAGTACACCAAGCTCATTTTCTGTATCGTATCCAAAGAGATCGAAAAACTGAACGATCGAAAAACGTTAACACTAACGACTAGAACGGCTTCGTTTACGATGATGCATCTCGCTTCAGACTTTGGATTGTAACCTTTAATAAAGCTGGGTCCTCGCGAGTTTTTCATCAGCGCGACACGCGTATTGATTATTTTGTTTCGTTTCGCCATTAGTCTTCGTCATACGTATGATTATAAAATCCATCAAGAAGATTAATTGTCAACATGATGGATGAAAGAGGGTCTGTGGTATTTGAGTGATCGCGACGTTTCTGTTTTCTCTATTACCAACCAACGGTAACTGGCAAATTGTTATGAAAATTATTATTAGCTCGGCCAATTAAAAGCGAAAAACGATGCCTAATCCAATCCCGATAGCTAATTTAATGGTGATTTACGATTGGATACCCTTCGGAAAAAATAATTTACGATGAAGCATTAGTTTATTTCAATAGCCGCGACGCGGTTACGCGCATGCGATTAATACTTCGCAGGGAATATAAAAGCGTTCGCTGAAAGCAATTGGGCGAATCCATTAACTCTAAACACGAAACGAAACGCAAAAAGTTGCTACGGAAAAAAGAGGAAACGTTTCGCTTTGGAGTTAAAATACGTTTCCCAATTGCGTTTACTGGCCAATTCAATAATTTATGTGGGTAACTAAAGTATAATGAGTCCTTGGCAAAAAAAAAACAAAAAAAAAAAAAAAATACCAACTCGTTTGCGCGAACGTTCGTACGCAATTCCGGTTAATTAAACACGGCCAACCTATTATACGTTTCTGGCGTTTTGGAATTTCCTCCGATATTTATAACGATTAAAAACGTGTTTATTTTTAATATTCTGAATTTAACGGAACAACGATTAGCTCATCCCCGAAGACCGAATCCCAAGAAGCGTGGCCGGGACACGTTGGCTCGCATAATTCATAAGCCAGCGACTGTACTTCTATTTTCCCCGCGTACAAAGAAAATTCCGTTTCGGATTGACGCTATTTTCAAACGCGCACGTGGTATCAACGGCCCTCTGTCCTTTGTTGCATCTAACGAACCGCTTCCTCATTACGGGCACGTGCATAGAAGCCACTTAAATGGAACTTTCTATCACAAAGAAACCGTCGCGGGAATTAAACGGCGTAGCGGGAGAACGGGAAACCAAGTTCGGTGAAGTCTTTATGTGGAAAACGTTATGATGCACGCTTGGACGTCCATAAGTCGCCTTGGAACAAACGTTTGCTTGCACAGCTTGGAAAAACAGACGTTGCAAGATCTGTACCCTTGGCGACAAACTGTGTTAACCCTGCCTAACTAACGCGCATTACGAGCGAACTGCGGTTATGCCGGATGAAAACGTGGGCAAATTTATGCAGGAGTTCGTGCTTGAAAAATTAAAGGCACCAGGATTACGAAATTTCGAACCTCTGGATTGGTAGTCGAACGCTTTACCATATTGGTCAATTATTAAACTTTGCTAAGAGTATCCTTATTTGAGTTTCTATTATGTTGGGAATGTGTCCATATGTCCACAAATATTAAAATAAGACGGTAAAGTCTATTAAAGAAACTCATCTGAACTTAACTGACTGTATATTCGTATATTTTTTAAATGATATTTAACGCTTGTAGAATTAAAAATATTTCATTTTGGTGTTTAGAAGAGAGGTATTAAAGTATAATTAGCTGGTAGGAGCCGGGTAGAAATTTTGCAGCGTCGCGAACGCTTTTTGCGTCGCAAGTGGCAAGAACGATCCGTCATTCAGCATAGAATAGTAACTCGTCTCGTTGCATATACGCACACATACATATGTATGGGCCGCGAGCGCGTTCAGTTCAAGCTTATCACTGACTGAAGGGTTCATTTAAATTTGAAATAAGAAAACGACGCTTCATTCATTTATTCATTCATTCGGTTCGAACATTGTTGACAAAATATAACGGGTAAGTAAAGTTCCTCGTGAAACACATTTATCGGTTACAGAAATTAATTTCGTACCTTTCCTACTACTTATGAACTCTTTGGTAGTTGTAAAAACAAGGGCGAAGTATTTCTACTTGGACTGGAGTTACGAAAAATTAAATGTGAAAATAGAGAACGAATTACTCTCGATTACAAGAAGAACGAATGTTTCTTAAGTTAGCCGCGATTAAGGAGCAAATGAAAGAATAAAAATGACAGAGATCGTTTTAAGATTGATGAGCGATAATGCGCAAAGTGGCGCCCCCTGCGAGCCGTTTGCCATCGAATTAGGATGTTACGAGGCGTGCACGCGAACCTTCCGACGATAAAACACGAGTAAAGGGATTCACGGGTTACGAAGTGCCTAGCCGTTCCAGGGAAACGAAGTGTGTAATGCTTCTAGGCTATGGCTTCGCCGCGTTCAGTTTTCAGGTCAGGCGATAAATACATAAAAGTGCGACCGAAGTGTCTCGGAGGGGACACGAGAGCGCGAACACCGCTGGCTTATTTTACTTTCATGCACCGAATGCAATTATGTATTCGAGCCCCGAGTTTAAGGTTCACAGTCCGATTCCTCCGTATCTCGACACTATCGCTCGATTGCTTTCGTCTAACCGGGAGACAAGAAAATTGCTTTAAAAATAGACCGCGTGACCTCTGGCACTCTAAATACTCCATTCGGACGCAATTTCGATCTATTCGGCAACGAACGATTATTCGTTAGAAATGTGAATCTAAATAATCTAAATAATCGCACGATATTCAAAGTAATTCAATACCGGTACGAGAACGTTTCAAACGACCTCCAAACGGGACAAGCATCATTCGTCTCGAGAGTCAAACCAAAGATGGAGCGCACGTGCTGCACGAGCGAATCCGTGGAACGCGGGCACGTTGCACTGCATTATTTTTCACTTCGAGAATGTTAATTACGCGCACGTAAAGTCCGACACGCATACGTATAGTATATAACGCGGTGTACATCCTCGATACATGGTTCCACGAGAACCTCGTTCGGTTGCATTTCGGTGACGCGTGGAGACGATGGTTGCTTAGCAACGTACGAACTTGGAGGGGCTCCTTATTATCATCGTGGAAAGAAGCACGTGGCGCCACGTGGAAGGACAATCTCACCTCATTCCTTTGAAATTCACGTGAAACTCTGTATGTTCCATAAGTGTTAAAATTACCGGACCTCGATATCATTTTTTACTAAATTTCGGTGGTTAATTCAAATCGAAATATTCTCGTATGATCTACGTTTAATCAAAGACCAGTCAAAGCAAAGTTTCGTTAGAATCTTCTACTAAATATACTACCACGGAACTATCTGAAACCAAGTATACACCGCGAATAGGATATGTACATCCATTCGTGGTAGAAAACAGAAAAGGGTTCCCACGTTCGTTGCTACGCCCCTTTCTCAATGCACACTCCCCTCCCGCGTTTGCCCCTCCCCCCACCCAACCAGCTAAAAGTGCGCCAGACGGGTTTCTTGCTCTGTCCGTTACGAACGGCGGCGTTTTCAGCTTGCACGTCTGGCTGCATGTGTGACACACGTACCGGAGACACTTTGTTTCGACAAAGCCACCGATCGCACGCTCTGCGCGTCGCATTATCAGGCCGGAGGCGTTATCTCGACTATCCAGACTTTTTTCCATCGGGGACCGATATATCGATCCATCGCGAACGGTATCTGCATTTTTTAACGGTCGCCCGGATTTTCGCGCAATAATGCAACGGAACGTATTACACGATATTGCTGTACGCGATGTAACCGCCTAATATTGACCCACGTTCCAGTTTCCGACAGTTGCCGTGTTCCAACGGAAACTTTTCGGAGTAACGTCGATTTGCAACTCTGGAGGCTCGATTCTCGACTGCAACGTACACTCGTGATTGATTTTGATTAGGTTATTAATAAACAGGGATTAACTCTCGGACTATCTTTTCTTCTGCAATTGTTTTTTTTCTTCTTCTTTTTTTTTGTAGCGTCTTGAATGTAAATATGATAGTTTAAGTATTCGCGAGGCATGTAGCTATTGCATTTAATGCGAATTAATAGATGGCACAGATTCGGGTTAGGTTTGCGTAACGGGACTCAAGCTGCACCTCGCATCCTTGTTTCGTCTCATTTACCGTGTACCTAGTTTCTTCGCTGTCGTGTTAACTCTGTTGCAACTTGTGCGATGAGGTTTACCGAATAAACGAATGTAACAACCTGCTTTTTGCATAATTACTCTTATTAGTAATAAGGAGACATTCGAACAGATTTTCAACCGTGCGATATACGCAAAATATAGATGGCACTTGGTGCGTTGATAACAAACGCGGCAACGTGAACGTAAAAAACGCGAATTGCTCGGTGCATCGTGTGCACGAATATCGACGAACGTGAGATCGCGACAGATAACGGACCGTCCATCAGGAAAGCAGATGGACACTTAGATCGTTATCGCTCATCAAT